GTTAGAGGCAGAAGCAACAAACAAACAAAAAACGATTGTAAAAATGGCAACGACAAATGAAGAGAAAATGAAGAAACCCAAAGCAGCGCTGCTGACGCCACTGCCTGAGTGAGACTGTGTGTGTTTTTGTGAGTTTGCGAGTGCATAAGCAATATCATACCAAGTAAAAAAAACAAACCGAAATCAACTTAAAATAGAGTCGAATCTAACAATGCTCCAACACACAAAAGTCATTTCTTAATGCAGCCAAATGCACAGACATATACAAATCTATGTATGTATGGATATGTATCTATGTCTGTGGAAATATGTACATACATAAGTACGGAGATACATATGTACGTATGTACATACATACATGCGCAGGCTGACGACGCTGCCGCTGACGCTAAGCATTTATCACTTGCTTATACGACGAGAAGCACTGCTTTTGGGGTCTACTTGGGACGCATCGAGGCCGGCCGCCGCAGCAGCAGCAGAACTGCTGCCAGTGGGCTGCAGAGGAAGGCCCACCGCAGCGGCAGCAGAGCAGGGAGCAAAAGAAGTCGGAGATGGCACAGCAGGCCAACGAGGGAGACAGACGAGAGCCGGGCGCAATGGAGTCATTGATTTTCGTTTATGCGGCCTGAGCCAGCAAAAGCAGGCGACGCTCTCACTTTTTATACGTTCATTCACATGAAGCACAGTGGAATGGAGCCGAACCAAGTCGAACAGAACTCAAACAAAGCTGCTGCCACACTTTAGGGAAAGTATTAGAGGGCTGTAGTCTAGGGTTCTTCTTGGGGATGTTTTACGTTAAGTCTTAACACCTTTACCAGTACACATTTATGGTTCGACAATGGGTATGTACATACATACATAAATACATATGTATGTATGTAGATATGTACGTATACGTTTTGAAGCAGTCACTGGCTAATCCTCCTAATCTGTTAATGCTTCCAAATTAAAATAATAAATCTAAACAAGAAAATACAAAATAAATCGAAGATATATGTAAGTACACATTGGGCGAGATATTGGGCTGATATGGATATGGATGAGCTAGTAGACTGGCACAACAGATATAATAAGTAGAAGTACATGAACCTATGTAGCATTGTAAAGCACATATACATACTTACATATAATTTACATATCATACAATATATATTTATCCCAATTAAAAGCGTTTTTTATCGCATAGATCCCACTGTACTCCCCAAGCGCTGGGTTTGCTACCAATGCAAGACCGTTGTCACCCACAAAGAGAGCACGCGCTCATAGCCAAAAAAAAGAGCGGCTGCCTTACAGAAAGAGAAAGAGTGAGTGAGAGTTGGTAGCGGCCAAAGCTGAAGCAAATAAAACATCACAGTCATCCCTGCCGCTGCAACAGTTTAATTTTCACTCAACCCTGCTTACCAATGATGTGACAAAAATACAAAAACAATAGCAACGAGCGGAAATGTAGTGAGCCGAGGCAAGGCCGCGGCTCTATTTTTATACTCAATACACAGTCGGTATGCATGCAATCTTGCGATTTATGTAACCTGCATGTATACATAGATATGTACATATAACTAACATATTAAACATATGATTATACGAGTATTATACCCGTACTCAAAAAGTGTTAAGGGGTATATTAGAGATGCGGTAAAAGTGGATGTGTGTAACGCAGAGAACGAAACGATAGTCCGTCCATCCGTCCAAATTTTGTTTCCAGGCTCATGTGATATCACACTGAGTCAAGTTTGTTTCCAAATTATTCCACGCCCTCTTTCGCCTTCACAAAGGACAAAAAATCTTTGGCATCCACAATTTTGAAGTAACGAGAAAACTAAAAGCGCAGTATCGTAGAGAATGACCATATCTACCAGGATGCCGAATCTGGATCAGATCGGATATTTTTTATAGCCAGAATGAAGAAATTAATTTTCAGGTGCTTCCCCCACCTCATCCGGCGCTGCTGACGCTGCAGTGCGGGACCTTTCGCAGAAAAGATGTAGAATCTACATTCTGTATAAAGAATCTACATTTTAGATGTGTAATCGACATTGTAGATGTAGATAGCATATGTAGCAAAAAAATGTAAGAAATGTAAAATATTTTAAATTTCTACATAAGCTCACAAATTTATATACTGAGTACGGGTATAAAAGTAGAGTCACGTCCACAGAAGCGACTCACACGTTCCTTCTCGTTTTTTCACTCGACATGAGAGATGGCAAACAAATAGATAAGAGAGGAAAACAGACCACTATTTATGCATTAATGTTAATTCTTGCACTTCGTTTACTTTTACACTTTTAAGTTTATTTTTGCGCATCATATTTTCCATATCTCTTGTCCATATATCGACTTCTTAGCGAATGCAAAGAAAAAAAGTTGCACGTCGCACCTTGAATACCCTAATTGAACATTTTTCGAATGTGAGGTCAATTATGATATACGTTATGAATATTTATGTTTTTGTATCCGTTTACCCATGTGCTTATTCTATATTAAAAGTATATTAGCGTATAAAGAATATACAAAAAACACAAGAAGACCTCTTATATTGTGTGGCATATAGTCCGCAAAGATCCCAGCTGCGACATATTTGTTGTATGAACTTGCACATCTATGTACATATGTATTTATATATGTACTGTACATATATACGGGTTTTGTACTGGTGTCCACTTTGGGGAAGTGCCCGAATTTTGTGGGTTGGTTATTCGAACTTGCGTTACAAAAATCTGGTTAAAATTGAAGTACCCCTACGAGTATATCACAGAAATGATGTACATTCATAAATATGTACATACATATGTATACGAAGAGAATACCTCTGAGCAAATAAAAACAAAAAAAACGCCAAATTAATCGCGGTGATTTCTCAGCGCCGACGTCGTCGAACGTCAACGTCAACGCTGTCGCCACGCAGGTAATAGCCGCGTGCCTTAATGTATGATAGTGTGTGTGTGTGGCTTTTCATTGTATTTATCTTCTCATTTCTGTTTCATTTCAATTTTTTTTTTGCTTCAGTTCGTGTTAGTTTTTTTGTTATCGGAAAGAAAATTGGAAGCAATAAATATTTAATTGGTTGTTTGCTTGTTGCTTAATTACGTAATTTGAATTGATCTTGTACTGCAAGAAATGCAAAAGACAAAGACGGCGAGTGAGGGAGAGAGAGAGATAAGCCAGAGAGAGAGAGAGAGTGTTATGGTGTTTCCCCCTTTTCAGGGGAATTTAATTTCCTGATAAACAACACGATTGGGGAGCACCATTTGATGAGTGTGTCGCCCCATAAATAACGGTAACAATCATCCTTCTCCGCCTTAATACTCGTAGTACAAAGATCGTGTAAACACACCACCCCACTCAAAACGAACACACTCATGAACTCTCTTGCTCGTTCGCTCTTACTCATCTTTGTTTGTCTCTTTGTTTGAGTGCAAATTTGCATTGTCTCTTTGTGTGAGAGCACACACTCACACACACACGAACACTGGCGCACTGGACTCACACCACTCTCATGGCTGCCAAAACTGACCTCAGAATTGTTGTTGGGGAAACATTCTAAAACTGTATATTGTCAATGTGTTAGACGAGGGGGTAGAGTAGGGGTGAATGGTTGCTTTGAGGCTTTGCTTTGATACTGATTTTGGTTTTGTTTTGATTTGTTCATTCTTTCTGTTTTCGCAATGAGGCAATTGCTCTTTACCTCCCACTCGCTCTCACACTACCTGTGCTACTCTGTACATGTGTCTGCCTCTGTGTGTGTTCTATCTACTTAGCCTAAATTCAAAGTGAAACTATTGACCAGATATCCCGCTTTGGCTAATTACATACGTACGTACGTACATGGCCGCAACTATAAAACGTTGATCAAGACTCTAAAGAAAATTGTGTCGTCTCCTCCACAACAATGAACGTTGGGCCTGAGGCCACTCACTTTTTACATACATACATACATACATATGTACATATGTATGTAATAATAAAATAACGAAAAACAATCACAAAGAGCGAGACGGAAGAGGGAGAACCAGCAACAGCATAAAGAGAGAAGATGAGGATGATATGATGCTTATAGTGGGGAAGAAGTGTCAGGTCAGAGGCATGCGATAGTGGTCTGGTGAAGAGCAAGAGTCAAAGGAGGGGAGGAGGGAGTAATGGTGAAGAAGAACACAATGATATGGTGGCGGGAGTTAGAAGGGAAGAAGCGACTGTTGTCTGGTGATACTAAGGAAAAAGATACAGAGGGAAAGAGGGAGTTTCCAGAGAAAAACAAAGACTCCGCCGAAGAAGTGTACATATGTTTGTATGTAATAGAGACACTGTCGAAAGATGACAGAGCAGAGAAGTCGAATAAAACAGACGCTGGGGGATAGAGAGCGGGCCGAAGCCTTGCCCACCCATCTAACTATCTAACCTTCTCCGCCACGACACCCACTGGCCCACCAAGTCAGTCGCCTTGATGGCCAAAGGCTCGCGTGTGCTTGCGTTTTGCTTCCGTTACAAATGGACACACGAACACAGACAGAGCCATGCGGTGCCAAAATCTTTTGCGCCACTTGCATATCACACACATGAACATACACAGTCGAATGCATACATATGTTCGGGAGAAGCCGCTCTGGCACGTACGCCATGTCAAGTTGTGTTGTTCTCTTTATGTTGTACCCACGGTGTGCCAGAAAGGGGGGTTAGGTAGGGTAGATGGAGCGCTCTCTTTCACAACGCGCTCTTTAAGCTGAGTGCTGCTGCCGCTACTTCCGTTTCTACAGCCACAAAGAAACGAACCGAACCGAGCCGAGCAGAGCCGAACAAGAGACGGCGAGCATCGTTTTCTCTCTTTTACTCTCTTTTTCTCTGCCTAAAATGTTGCTAGAAAATGTCCACAAGGTATGTACATACCACACAGACGTTGCACAGCAACATTCAAGCAGAATTGGAAAACATTTTAATACGCGCCCAACCGGTTTTAAAGCAACATGAGTCGGAAACATGCAAGAAATGGGCATATTGTAGCCCGGAAAAATGGTCTCACAATTGTTTTCGCCGCGGACGTGTGCACAACACAACCTTGTCGAATTTTTTTCTGAATTCAGAAATCTCCGTTGATTATATCCCACTAAAAACTATCCATATCGGCAGTGGGGAAACTCGGGGTCGCGACAACAACAGAAGCAAACAGAACTAATGTCGGAGCTTTCCTAAATCGCAACCCTTTCGAGTGTGCTTCGGTGTTCGCCGTCCAAATCAAGAACAGTTGCAATAATAAGGCGACAGACGAGAGGAAGAGATGTTTTTGTTGTTTTTTTTTCCCCGTTTTGAATGACTTTTTTTTGTGCCAAAAAGAAAAACAAATAGAGATTCAAAAGTCCTGGATTATTTTGAATTTCTGCAAATCAAATAACCAATAGCAATAACAGAAAAAATAAGGGGAAGACGCAGCAGCAGAACGCTAACCTAACGGTAACAAACAGCAAAGTGAAATCTCAAGCAAAATACAAAAAAAAAACACTCGCAAGCAACGGCGCCTCTTGCTCCCCACTCAGACTGAAGAAGCAGCAGCAAGCAGCACAGCATCAGAGGAGCTTAGCTCATTTGCGTGTTGCAAAAAGTTGCTTCCTCCCAAATAAAAACAAACAAAAGCAAAAAAAAACCAAAAACGCCTTTGAAAAATTTGTGGTTTGCCTTGTCAGCATATTTGTTGCAGTATAAAGTCGCTTGCAACAGCAATAGCATCAGCAGCAAAGCAGGCGATAAACCAAAACATAATCAAAAGTCTTCAGCAGAGAAAGAGCGACTCTGCACGCTCAACACACACTCGTAAACACATATAGCGAGAGCAATAAAAACGCACAATGACCTTGCCAACCAATACAAACGTCGCAGCGAACGGCGGCAGCGGCAGTGGCAGTGGCAGCGGCAGCGACGATGACTCGGACATGTTCGGCCCGCCACGCTGCTCCCCCCCGATGGGCCATCACCATCATCGATCGCGCGTGCCGATGATCTCGCCGAAGCTACGTCAGCGCGAGGAGCGCAAGCGGATCCTACAGCTCTGCGCCCACAAAATGGAGCGCATCAAGGACTCGGAGACGAATCTGCGGCGCAGCGTCTGCATCAACAACACCTACTGTCGCCTCAACGACGAACTGCGACGCGAGAAGCAGCTGCGTCACCTGCAGAATCTTCCCAGGTTAGTGTCTAGTAGCATATCATACACACACGCCAGCAGACATGTACACATAAAGGTAGGCGGCGTACTTTTAGGTGTACGCCTCATGATGAACTTTCAACCTTTGCCAGGTGCTTGTGTATATGTCTGCGCGTGTGTCTGATGGGGGGGTTCCTGTGGCTGCAGGAGGTGGCAACTGCCCTTTTCAGCAGTGTCTAATCACAGACCAATGGCCAGGCAGCATTTAAACGGACAGATATCGAAAGTGAGATGATTTCGAACTGCCACTTAGTTGTAGGTAGGACCAGGACCTGCTGTAAATCGATGAAAGGTTCAACTGACATTTCTGTCTAATCTTATTATTGTTGCTGTGTGCAGCAGTAGTTCCGTGAGCCGTGTTACATCAGTGAGATGATGAACAATCGATGGATATAATATAACCTAGCACATAATTGAATTCGAAAATTGTTTTTCGAAGGAATGTTTAACTAAATGTCGCTGGCGCACTTCAGCAATAATTCTACTGCAGTATTATTAAAAGGGTTTTCCAGCGGTTAATTTTCGATGTTGTAAGTGTTGAATAATGACGGCAAGTGGCACTTCTTGAACTTATTGCTTGGGCATTTTGCAAGACTATTTCAACATGGTTGTTTCGTCGCAATACATAATTAAATGTACGGGTTTCCATCTCTGTCTCAAATCGTTATGTACAACGCAAGGTTTCCATAACGTTATATTTATTCATGGAATACTCCTGTTGGGATTACTATTGCTCCCGCGGACAGTGGATGTCGGATGATGCAACTGCTTAGTTAGCCGCTTTGAAACCGTAAACGGCTTGGGCAGTAAACCAAACCCGATTTACCACACCACAGTAGTATATGGCTTCCACAAGGACTTGTGTTCCTCTGCCACCAGCCTTCTTCCTCTTCTCTTCTCTTTCACCCATCCTATCCCATCCCATCCCATTCCACTACCAATGCTTTTCCGTCTCCCATTCACCTTAGTCGAGTATTGCAAAGTTGCAGCAACAACGGACAAACAATCGGACAAACACAAACGAATACAGAAACACACAAAAAAAAAAACATTCACAGGCACAGACACAGACATTCGTTTACACACACACACAAACACTCACACAACGGTGGTGGCAGCGACAGCGGCGGCATATTTTCATAGCGAGGAAACATTGAGGCCAAGCTCAGGCCGTCAGCCAAAGGCAATTCGAGCAAAGAAGTACGGGCAAAGCAAAAGCAAAATAAAAAAGCAAAGACAGGGCAAAGCCAAGCATAAGCAAGACAAAGGCGAAGCCGAAGCCACATAGACATTGCAATATACATATAAACAAGAATGATGAAAATCAAAGAAAAGTCAAAGCAAAGACACGCCGAAGCAATGGGCAAGACATGGGTATTGGGTATGACACAAAAATAAAACCAAAGACAAACCAATTAAGAAAGAGAAGAGCAAACACAAACGCAACATGTACATACGTATGTATGTATGTACAAAATACCAAAGGAAAACCAAAACTACTTAAATGTTACTTCAAAGTAAAAACAAAGTCAGAGGGAGGGTGCACTACAGCAAAAGCAAAAGCGAAAAAAAGACAAACTACTAAAGAAGGAGAGCAAAGACACACCGAAGTAAAAGCAAAGTGAAGACACACAAAATCGGACAGAGAAAAAAGTCAAGCAAAAACCAAGCTCGTAATCACACGAAACAAAACCAAAAAAAGACCATCAACTAAATAAAACCACAAACAGGCAACGAAAAAAAAAATAAAATGAAAAGCAGGCCTCAACAATTGAGAAAAGTTGTGCGTTTCTTGAAATGCTTGGTATTCATGTGCTGTGTTTTATATGTACATACATACATACATATGTATGTATGTATGCTACGATCTGAAACAGGGCCAATCGTACAATAAAAGTAGTAGTATGTAGGTACTGTGACCTGTGACCAAGAATCAAGAAAGGACAGGAACCAAATGCAAACGAAATGCACATCATACATCCATATGTATGTACGTATATATGTACATATGAATGTCGTTTTCAAACCCTATTAGAGATGGGATCCTGCTTATTGCCATATTACTTCAGACTGAGTCCAAATGATTTCATATATGCATATCCCTCCCTATTGCCTTGTATAGTGGGCATAGGAAAGTGTGCTCCTGCTGCCCTGTCGCTGTGTGCCTATTGTCTGTTGGTGCCATTAACGGATCTCATTTTCGAAGGTGCTGCTCCATTTCCTAATCAGGAATCCCCCCGCAAATATTGTGTAATACTTTCTGCAGAGTTCACATAGAACTTACATATGTGTGTGTGTACATAAATTGATGACAAACGATACTCGCGAATAGTGAGTCATCAGACGTCTGTGATTATTAGTTCCGTTTTGTGGTCGTGTAGGCTCGTGCTTTGAAAGCCTGGTCCGCGGTCCATCTCTAGCAACTACACAACATTTATGCACATACATACATACATACATATGTATATCACATGGATGTTATTTTGTTTTACTTTGAATGTGTCTATCTTTCTGTATGTGTGTGTGTGTGTGTGCGCGCGCTAAAGAAGCGTAGCGCTGGTTGAAGTAATCGGAATCACGTTCCACTTGCAAAAAAAAGCAACCACAATAATAGCAGCAACCACTGACACCAGGCAGCAGCGGCGCTCTCTTAGCCAAATCGCAGCATTGGCAGCACCACTGAACCTTCACACACACACACACACACACACATATACACACGCCCGTCTGAAAGGATTCGAAACCTTCATATTCTTTGCTTAGTAGTGGTCTTTAGGTGATAGTTAATTTCTTTTTAAGCGTATTTAATAAAAGAGATACAAATATGTGCATATGTATGTATAAACAGAAAAAAAAACACACTCGCATCGCACACACACGAACACGAAGTGAGCATAAGTGTGCCTGCCCTGCCTGTGTATCATTATATTTTTGTCTTGTCTTTTATGCACGTCCGCCGCCGTCGTCGTCGTCGTCGTCGTCGGTGTCGGTGTCGATCTCTGCTTCTTCTCTGCGTCTCTGCGCTGCAGCTGCTAAAACATTTTGGCCCACTCGCAGTTGTTGGCGCTCTGCTGGCAGAGCATAAACAGCAAAAGCAGCAGCGTAGCTTTTTGAAATTTTTCATTTAGAATCGTTTCATTTCCTTTACCGTTAACTTTCATTCACTGATTGCTGCTGCTGCTGCTGCGTACTTGTAACTTCCTATTGTGATTCAGCTCAAGTTTCTTCCGCCACGAATTCTTTTTTCGTCTTCATATTCGACGTGTTCTATTCCTTCTTCCCCATATTCCTTAGTCCTTGCTGCTTTCTCCAGCATATCCTTTGGCTGCAGCTTCGCCTTAAATTCTTTGGTCTCTTTTGATTCCTGCTATTCTGCTTCCTTGCCTTCCTCTTATTCTTTTTCATACTCTTCCCCTTTACACGACTTTGCCCTCATATTCTGCTGGTTCTGCTCTTGCTCACGCACTTCAATGGCGGTGGAAAAATTGTGCACTAGTGGCGCTTAACACCCCCTGACCGCCCCTACGCCGCCGCAAAACTGCTTGCACACAACACCTGCTGTTCTTGTCCGCCTGTCGCCCCCTCTATCTCTCATATTTATACTTATGTATGTACATCCATATGTACATTATCTAGCAGCAGCAACAGTGGCAGTGGCCACCTTTGGCTTTCTTTTCTCGTTCGCGCGCCGCCAAACGACGGAGAAAACAAACAACAAAATGCCGTTACACACGCTTTAAGCTCGGTTTTGTTTTTGCTTTTGCAAAGTTAATTCCACCCCGCCTTTCCTTTTGGACAATGCCTCTCTTGTCACGACTGTCTGTGCCTCTCCCTTTCTCTCTGCCACTGGCACTGCCACTGCCACAGGCAGCGCGCGCTCTTTCTCAGACAGCGACGCTGCGGTGTTCGTGCGTTGGGTTTCCGTTTATTCCGTTTATTTTGTATACCCTGGACTCTTGTCGAGTACAAGAAGGGTATGTATGTACATATGTACATATGTATGCCTGTGACCTCCAGAATTAAATAATGTAATTATGTATGTATTGTAACATAATGTTCTCCATCACTGCCCCCTTAAATACAGCCCTGTCTGTCTCTTTTTTGTTTATGTATAAATGCATGGATCTCATTAATCCTGAAACTGTGGGAAATCTTTTACTTGGCTGATTTGGATCAAATTTTGATACTTAATTGTTATAAAAATATGTACATGTATATATGTATTTTCTGACTTGAAGTAGTTGCTACTTTATAATTGAAAGACTCTGTCTGTGGTGTTTAGCTTGTTGTCTTTTTTTCTCTCGTTTTTCTTTGTTTGACATTTGTTTGCACCCCACCCCCTTTTGGAAAATGCATATTCAGGCTGATGTCTTTATTAGCTTGTAGATTTCATCCAGCAATCGATAAATTAATTACATAAAGTGGAGAAATCGGAAGTGGAGAGCCAGAAGTTGAGAAACGTGGAATGGATCGAATCGCATGTTCCATTTGAGTGCTTAAGTAATTAACTTTGACGGTAAAAAAAGAGTTGGAGTTGTCGTTGATATAATATGATGATCGAGTAATCGAAATGTTTTTTTATTTTGATTTGTCGATATCTTTGGATATCGGTTGCACAGTTTCAGCGCCTTTTTCTCTAAAACAATCCTTATACCCTATACATATGTCCGTCCAGCATAGCATTTAGTGAATACCTCCTCTATAGAGTATAGAGTCCTATATCTTGCAAAAACCCGATTCTCAAACCAAAAATTATGGGCTAAAACGCTTCAAAGAGCGCTAAGAAACAACATCAGCAGCAGCGAGACGCTCTTATTCAATCGCTTACCGAATTTCCTCCAATCTTTAGCTGTGCTCTGCACTGCTTTATCCATCACCACTCACCCACCCCATCTCTTTCAGCACACAACAAACTGTCCAGAGCCGCTCACCACCTAGCTCTTCCTCTCCCACTTCCACTCCCACTCACACTCACACTTCTT